ACTTTGCCCTCAATGCGAAATTTAGGCTTTCATATGCTAAGTACTGAGAGCAAAAAGTCAGATTTATAGCTTTTACCAATTTCTGAGCATTTAGTTTTCAATATCGTCTGAGGAAATGTACAGAAATACCAAATGAGCCTCGGTCACGATGACTGATTACCTCGTGCTAGGAGAATCTGCGACTGTTTCTGAATAGTTCCGTCTACCAAATTTCACTCACCTGGCTTGGGCCAACGCGTAGCATGGTTTTCAGATACATTCCAGCGGTGCCACACACAGAGATCAACTCCCTAATCCCATAACGAAGTCACCTCGCTCTTTGTGAGCCTCGAACTAAGGTTTCATGATATGGAAAGGGGACATTCTAACCACCGGCCACGTGCCAACGCCAGTAACTATTATTATATCATTACAAATACGACTAATAATGTTACTGTCATAATACTCCTATTACTACTATTACTACTGCTACTACTACTACTAAATGCGAAAGGTTCAAAGGGCGGACGTGAATAATATATGTACTGGCTACAGTGACCTCTTAACAGTCACTTTTCTGGCGAAGAGCCAGGATGATGAGGGATTGGTAGACTAATCAAATAAAGTGAGCAATATTGTATTTACAAGGCGTTGAACTGACGGCGAAATGAAAGGGGTGGACGTGATTGGGGGCATGCTGTAGACTGAAAGAAGACAAGATGAGGGAAGGTGAGAAAATGCGGACCCTTGGGCCGGGATAGCGTACTGGAGTGAGGAAAGAAAGATAATTCAGGGTAGAGGTGTGCAGAGAAAGAGGATTATTGCAAGTGGGGCTGAGAGAGAGAAAAACGATTTGCGAAAAAAATCAGACACGTGCTTGTTCACCCCGCTTCCCTCCAAGCGATTCGATGAAATGCTTTCGTATACCGAAATAGCGTAAAACGAATAAACAATTGTCATTAATTTCTGTTTGAATTTCTGAAACGAAGATCTATCAATATTTATTTACATTATTTTTACATTCGAACTAAATGACATCGTTCGTATTGTTACGGCCACGACGTTACGGCCACAACGTTACGGCCACAATCTTACGGCCGTTGTGTCTTCCGGTCTTCTTCAGGAGTATTTATATCCGGGTAAACTTGAGGGAATGTCGCTATATTTATTACAACGTTTCGGCACTTCAGTATCTGTCTATATTTCTGAGATGAGGTATTATGTACACTATTTACATTATTCGGACTATTGTCCTCATCTTTGTTACTTTATTTATTACAACGTTTCTGCCCTTTAGTAGCTGTCTATATTTCTAAGATCAGGTATTATGTACACTATTTATATTATTTGGACTATTGTCCTCATCTTTGTTGCCATATTCATCACAACGTTCGGCCCTTCAGTATCTGTCTATATTTCTGAGATGAAGTATTATGTACACAATTATTATTCGGACTATTGTCCTTATCTTTGTCGCCATATTTATTACAATGTTTCGGCCGTTGTACGCTCCGGCCTTCTTCAGGTGGTTGGAATGTCGAACTGAACCCTTTATTTCGCTCACTGGGCTAGACTGTTCTAGTTCCACGTGCCATGTTTAATGGATGTCAATTATCAGTTATCTCAAAGACACATGGCACAGTGGATAAAGGCGTTAGCTAGATCCAGTGACAGGACCCACAGAGTGTGAGTTCAATACCCGGTTAAGGCGGTGGAGAACTTGGAGAGGGGAATTAACAGGAGATAACTGACAACTGACATCCATTAAACTAGAACAGTCAACCCCAGTGAGCGAAATATAGAGTTCAGTTCGACATTCCAATAACCTGAAGAAAGCTGAAGCGTATAACGGCCGAAACATTGTAATAAATATGGCGACAAAGATGAGGACAATAGTCCGAATAATGTAAATAGAGGACATTTTAATCCTTACGAATGAATTGTATATTACTGTGCAATGTTACAATGATATATCAGAAAATAAAATGTTTATTCTAAAATCGAACATTATTTTCCGAAGCTAATACTATTTTCCAGTGTATTCACAGAGTGCGTCAACTATTTGAGAACAGAAATCGATTGATAATATCAAAAAGACACTTTAATCATGAGGAACAAGTAATATACAGTTATTTAAAAAAAACAAAAACTATTATGTAAATTTTTGTACCTTTGTATAATATTTATGCATTACACCCTAATCTTTATTCGGTAAAAATTTCATTGCTAATCATGCATTACTTTTTAAGTAATACACATATTTATGTCTTTGTTGTTTCCGTTCCTTATATTATGGCCGCTACTGTATTTTTGTGCAACTATTATAATAGATTAGAACACAAAAAAGGTTGATTCTAAAATTGGACATTATTTTTCGAACAACCTAATACTATTTTCCTGGGTATACACAGGGTGTGTCACGTATTTAAGAACACCATTCTGAAAGAGATTGATATAAAATTAACAAAGAGGACATTTTAATCATTATGATTGTTGGGTGGTTGTTTTTTTAGAGGCATACCATCCTCTGTGGACGACATTTAAATATATGCAATTTTATGGCTTCAGCTACAGATATTTTGTGCATAAGTATATACTTCAGGACAAACGGGTTTTTAGATATATATGAAGATAATAAAATGTATTATTGATATATTTTTTAATGATTTACTGGTAATTTTACTATAAAAATGTTTTTTATTGCTGATCATTTTGCTATAAAATATATAGATTTTTTTTTTTACTGTAAATTTTTTTCATTTTTGTTTAGGGATTCACTATTTGACTATAGCTGTGACCCTAAAAGGTGCAACAACCCCGGGTCAAGGTGAACCTTGCAACAACAGCAATTAAAGACCTTTAATTATTAGGAACAAATAATATATTTTGAAGGAACTATTATAATAATATATTAGAACAAATTTAAAAGGTTTATTCTAAAATAGGATATTATTTTCCGAACAACCTAATGTGCTCTGACTAAATTATTATTATTATTATTATTATTATTATTATTATTAATTATTTTCTTTGATTTCTGGCGTTTACAAATTTCTTTCCGGGTCCCGCCCAGGAACCTAAGGTTAGAAATGGCATCATGACACTTTCCACTGACAAAAAAAAAAAAAAAAAAAAAATTACATAGATAAAGCCCTTCGTAAAGTGTGGGCTGTACTCGTGAGAATATTTTTCTATTATTATTATTATTATTTTATTCCCTTTCATTTCTGATGTCTACTCATTTCTTTCCGGGTCCCGCGCAAGAACCTAAGGTTAGAAATGGCATCATGACATTTTCCATTGGAAAAAAGAAAAAAAATGACATAGACAAGGCCCTTCGTAAGGGCGTGAGCTGTACTCGTGAGAGTGGGTTGTACTCGTGAGATGTGGGCTGTACTCGTGAGACTTATTATTATTATTATTATTATTATTATTATTATTATTATTATTATTTCATTTGGTTTCTGGTGTGTATTCATTTCTTTGCGGGTCCCGACAAGAGACCTAAGGTCAAAAATGGCATAATGCATTTTCCACTGAGCAGTATTGAAAAAAAAAATCACACATATTTTACATAGATAAAGCCCTTAATATAATACGGACTGTACTTGTGAATAGAATATTTTGTATTTCTTTCAGTCATGGACTTCCAGGAATCCCTTCAATGAGTCTATTGGAATCGTTTCCAGTCAATCCGAGTGCTCCAACTACAACTGGAATTGTTATTGTCCTCATGCGCCACATTTTTGAGATTTCCATTTCAAGGTCCTTGTATTTTGATAGTTTTTTTTTTTTTTTTTTGAAAACATTCAAAAATACATTGCAGTCAATAAGAATTCACATTTTGTCTTTGCGTTCTCTAATCACGATGTCTGGGCGATTAGCTGTGATTGTTCTGTCTCTGTGTATTTTAAAGTCCCATAAAATTGTTACAGGTCCTATCTATATAACCGGGTCTGGGTGGTTTTCATATCAATTTCTCTCAGTAAAAGTTTTCCAGTGAAGACGTTTGCCCACTCTGTCATGTCAAGTTTTATATTCAGTAAGGGCTAATACCATGCAACCCGATACAAGACAGGAAATTGTTTTTGGATATTTATCACATAATATGCATTTTGGACTAACAATTATTATTATTATTATTATTATTATTATTATTATTATTATTAATTTTTGGAGTATTGAAAGTTATAAACCAGTTCGAGCTCTTTAGAACTCGGTCTGAGGAGAGACACTGATCATCTCGACTTAATGGAGGCACTGTACAAGGCGTTGAACTGACGGCGAAATGAAAGGGGTGGGTGTGATTGGGGGCATGCTGTAGACTGACGACGAAAGGGGTGGATGTGATTGGGGGCATGCTGTAGACTGAAAGAAGACAAGGTGAGGTAAGGTGAGAAAATGCGGACCCTTGGGGCTTGATAGCGTACTAGAGTGAGGAAAGAAAAATAATTCAGGGTTGAGGAGTACAGAAAAGGAGGATTATTGCAAGTGGGTTTCAGAGAGAGAGAGAGAGAGAGAGAGAGAGAGAGAGAGAGAGAGAAACGATTTGCGAAAGAATCAGATACGTGCTTGCTTACCCCGCTTCCCGTCAAGCGTTCTGATGAAATCCTTTCGTATGTTGAAATAGCGTAAAACGAATAAACAATTGCCATTAATTTCTGTCTGAATTTCTGAAACGAAAAGCTATCAATATTTATTTATTATTTTTATTATACTGTGGTATTATCTGCATAGATATTTATTGATAATCTGAGAATCTTCCAAGGCCGATTGTTAATAATAAAAAAAACCCGGAAAGACAGTAGTACGGAGGAGAAAAAGTTTATTTTAGAAGAAGACCAACAGTACTACAACACCAAGGACCCTTTGAATGACATCATTGTGTACGTCATTACCAGTCTAAGCAAGAACCACACCTGGTAAGGCATGAAGTTGTTTCCGAGGTTTACGTGGAGGCCATGCTTGAGGCGGGAGTTTTATTGAATACCCTTTTTTCTGTTGTTCTAAATTGGACATGAATGTATTTCTTTTTTAATATACTAATTTTTTTTCTTCTATTGAATATTCTTTATATTTCTTTATGTGTTCTTGACAGGAGCACCCGGTAAATTTTATCTTTTTTTTCTTTGTTTCAGTCCCGTAACACATACTTCTGTAATTATGTCTATCCAATTGTAAACCACATTTTTTTTTCCTTATATACAAAATTTTCTCATAGAATTTAATCTTCCATTTCGCCACTAATTAAATAATTCAATTTCAGACCCGATGCTCTTAATTAGGCTTTCGTGCACACATCTCCATAAACTTTCGTATCTTTTCACACACAGGTGGCGCCAATGCCTTCTTGACAAAACTCATTTACGCCCGACATTTTCCCATTTTTGTTTATTCGTTTGCTTTTTTTTTAAATTACTTATTTGAATTATTGTCTTTTTTTCTTTCATTTAGTGTTTATTTATGCATTCTCTAAATCATTGATTTGATTATTTGTGTCATATACGCCATTTATTATTTTTCTTTCGTTTTTTTTTCATTTCTTCTATTTACTACATATCTTTTGCTTTTAAGTGCATATAATTCCAAGTCTTCATTTTCTTTTTTTTTCTTTTTCTTTCTTTCTTTCTTTCTTTCTTTCTTTCTTTCTTTTTCGAGTTTATATTTATTTTTTTCGTTCAATTTCTTCACTTCTTTCGTTTCACATTTCTTCTTTCTTTTTATCGCTTCAAATTGTTTATTTTTTTTTACTTTCTATCTACTCACATTTTCTTTTTTCTTTTATCTAGTTCTTTCTTTCTTTCTTTTCGAGTTTTCATTTTTTTCAATTTCTTTCTTTCTTTTCGCATTTCCTCTTTCTTTCTATCCCTTCAATTTCTTTGTTTGTTTTTTCTCTTTTTCTTTCCATCTACTCTCTTTCTTTCTTTCTTTTTTCTGTTTCTTTCTTTCTTGAGCTTATAGTTATTATTTCTTTCTATCTGTTCATTTTCTTTCTTCTATTCTTTCTTTCTTTTTCTTTTATCTTATATATAATCATTCCTTGTATCTGTTCACTTTCTTTCTTACATTTATTCTTTCATTCTTTTATCTCTTTCTTTTTTTCTTTCTTTAATTTATATTTATTGTTTCTTTATGGCTGTTTTCCTTTCTACTTTTCCCTCATTCATTCTTTCTTTCTTTGTTTTAACTCGTTCTTTCTTTCTTCTTACTTTCTTTTTTCTTTCTTTCATTCTTCTCGTTCTTTCTTGATATCCTTTTTCTTTCTTCCTTTCTATCTATCTATCTATCTATCTATTTATCTTTAATATCGTTCTTTCTTTTTTCTTTCTTTCTTTTTTCTTTCTATTTTTTATTCCGTTGTTTCTTTTTTCTTTCTTCCTTATTTGCTTCTTTTTTTCCTTCTTTTTTTATCTCGCTCTTTCTTTCTTTAGCTTATACTTATAGTTTCTTTCTATCTGTTAGCATTCTACTTTTCTTTCTTCTTTCTTTCTTTTATCTCGTTCTTTTTTCTTTTTCTTTCTTTCTTTTTCCTTCATTCTTTTTCCTTCTTTCTTTTATCTCGTTCTTTCTTTCTTTTTTCTTTATTTCTTGAGCTTATACTTATAATTTCTTTCTATCTGCTCGCATTCTACTTTTCTTTCTTTCTTGTATCTTGTTCTTTCTTTCTTTTTTCTTTCTTTTTTCCTTCTTTTTTTCGCTTCTTTGTTTTTTCTTTCTTTTCTCTTTCTTTAGCTTATACTTATAATTTCTTTCTATCTCTTCACATTCTACTTTTCTTTCTTTCTTTCTTTTATCTCGTTCTTTCTTTAGTCTTTCTTTCTTTTTCCTTTTTATTTTGTTCTTTCTTTCTTTTTTTTCTTTCTTTTTTCCTTCTTCCTTTTTCCTTCTTTGTTTTAACTCGTTTTTTCTTTTTATAGCTTATATTATAATTTCTTTCTATCTCTTCGCATTCTACTTTTCTTTCTTTATTCTTTTTTCTTTCTTTCTGTTTTCCTTCTTTCTTTTAGTTCGTTCTTTCTTTATTCTTTCTTTCTTTTTCCTTCTTTGTTTTATCTTGTTCTTTCTTTCTTTTTTCTTTCTATATTTTATACTAAATTTTCTATCTATCTCTTCGCATTCTACTTTTCTTTCTTTCTTTCTTTTCTTCTAGTCTTTCTTTCTTTCTTTCTTTCTTTCTTTCTTTCTTTCGCATATATTTATTAATTTCATTTTATCGGTTTACATTCTGCTTTTCCTTCTTACTGTTTTACTTATTGTATTCCCCTTATTCTTTCCATCCCCTTACTTTTATTTTCTCTATCGATGCCTGAGCCTAAAGAATCGCCAATCTTTGAATGCTAATTTTTAGGCAGAGCCGACTTTGTTGCTTGACCATCTTTTCTTAAACGAGGTACATTTTTAACTACATGTGTGCTTAGCGGTTAAAAATTGGATCTCAGAGCCAGTTTCATATGGCCCTACGATGAAGATTTTACACTTACCAACAAGAATGAAGAGAAACAAAGATGAAACATGGACATTAAATGAGAAAGAAAGAAAGAAAGAAAGAAAGAAAGAAAGAAAGAAAGGAGAAAATACAAGACTGAGTGAAAGAATGAAATTAAACCTTGAAGGACAGACTGAAAAATAAAAGAACATTAAAAAGGAATGAAAGAAAGGAACACTGACGTATAAGAAATAAATAAATTTAATGCTTTAAAGGAAATACGGAAAAGAAAGAAGGGAAAAAGAAGGAAGGAAAGAAAGAAAGAAAGAAAGAAAGAAAGAAAGAAAGAAAGAAAGAAGCAAAGAAAAAACAATGAAAACTGAAAGAAAGAAACAGGCAGAAGGAAAGAAAGAAAGAATGAAAAAAGGAAGAAGGAAAGAAAGAAAAAATTACAAAAAGAAAGAAGAAAAGAAAGAAAGAATTAAAAAAAGAAAGAAAGAGAAAACAAATGAAAAGAAGGAAAGAAAGGACAAATATTCTAATGCCAAAAAAAAAAAAAAAAAAAATGACCGCGAAAGAAAGAAAATAATAAAAGAAATACTTTACTGAAAAATAGAACGCAAAGAAAAAGTCAAGAAAAGATTCCGGAAACGCGAAAGAATGACAAGACGCCATTTATTCCTTTCTTTTACCCGCCTAAGTCCCCGGATGCTTGATAACAGTACACACTGACTCTCTAATTCGATTGGCGGCCCAGCTAAATGATGGCTGAGTGAGGTTTCATCTAATTTTCGACCAGGCCAAACGTTAGAGGGCGCTTCTGACGAGACCGATGGAGGCTGTTGGCGTCAAGGCGATTGGTCTCTGCGGATTCTTGTAAAATAGCGTCGGACATTAGTTGCAACGTTTTACTCGCAGAAAATGTGGAAATCAGATTAGCTGGAGCCGAAAAATCCGAATAATTTGCCAATCAGTGCGAACTGAAAATTGCTCTTCCATCAGGACTCAGCATCTTCATATCTATCTATCTATCTATCTATCTATTTGGTCTGTTTATATCTATCTATCTATCTATCTATCTTGATTATTTATCTAAATCTATTTTGTCTGCACATATCTATTGTTTTATCATTCTGTCCCTGTCTATTTATCTAAATCTTTTTCCCACTAATCTGAACGTATATGTCTGTCTATCTATATATATATATATATATATATATATATATATATATATATATATATATATATATATATATATATATATATCTTAAATCTCTAGACAAACCAATTTTAGTCTGCAATTTGTTCTAAATCTCATATTTCATTGCAACACAATCCCCATTTTTTTGACTATCACTGTGTGTCCATTTCTTTTTCTTTTTCTGTTCTAAATCTTTTCGTTTAGGTCCGGCCAAAACGTTAGGAACTTGGAAAATAAGAGTCAATGGCGCAGCAATCGAGTTGTAATGGTTGGTACTTCAAATGTCCGAATCTCGACTGACGCGCTCAACACCATTCGGTATTTATCATTTCACCCACGGAAACGAATATACAAGGCCGGTTTCATTGTGGGTTTCTATATATATATATATATATTATATATATCGGATATATAAATATATATATATATTGAACCCGATTCGGTATTTTAATTTCTCTATATGGCACAACAAACCAATATTTGCCAGTCAGTTCTATCTTTCCTTATCTAATTTTGCGGGTTCCCTTCGGCTAATCTCTCAAAAGACCGGGTGCCATTTTCATTTCACCCACGGAAACGAAACAAGGCCAATCCCCATTTTTGAAGCCGGCGTCCGTGTGGACAAAGACTTTCCAGGTTCTTTCTGTTGTCCGCAGTCAAAGACCGCGAGATGCCATTCGGTATTTATCATTTCACCCACGGAAACGAATATAAGGCCGGTTTTATTGTGGGTCCGTAGGCTCGGCCAAAAAATAGCCTTTGAAGCCGATTAGACGGGTTCAGGCCCTGTCTACCTCCCCGGACGAAACTTTTGCCCCTTCGGCAAACTCGTGTTCCTCTTGCTAACGAAAGTTCGACAGAGAGGCGTCCGCAGTCAAAGGCGAGATGCCATTCGGTATTTAATTTCGAAACGTATGGCACAAGGCCGTAATGGTAGGCTCGGCCAAAAAAATAGCCTTTGAAGCCGATTAGAATCTACCTCCCCGGACGAAATGCCCCTCGCAAACTAACGCAGAGAGTTCGACAGGAGGCGTCCGCAGTCAAAGACCGCGAGATGCCATTCGGTATTTATCATTTCACCCACGGGAAACGAATATGGCACAAGGCCGGTTTTATTGTGGGTTTCTCCGAGCCCGTAGGCTCGGCCAAAAAATAGCCTTTTGAAGCCGATTAGACGGGTTCAGGCCTGTCTACCTCCCGGACGAAAGCCCTTGCCCTTCGGCAAAGCCTCGTCCGGGTTCCTCTGCTAACGCAGAGAGTTCGACAGGAGGCGTCCGCAGTCAAAGACCGCGAGATGCCATTCGGTATTTATCATTTCACCCACGAGAAAACGAATATGGCACAAATTGTGGGTTTCTCCGAGCCCGTAGGCTCGGCCAAAAAAATAGCCTTTTTGAAGCCGATTAGACGGGTTCAGGCCCCGTCTACCTCCCCGGACGAAACCTTGCCCTTCGGCAAAGCCCGGTTTTCGACAGGAGGCGTCCGCAGTCAAAGACCGCGAGATGCCATTCGGTATTTATCATTTCACCCACGGGAAACGAATATGGCACAAGGCCGGCTTTATTGTGGGTATCCCCGAGCCCGTAGGCTCGGCCAAAAAAAAATTAGACGGGTTCAGGCCTATCTACCTCCCGGACGAAACCTTGCCCTTTTTAACGCAGAAGCCGATTCAAAGACGGGTTCACCCACATGGCACAAAGGCCGGCCCTTTTTAGGGTTTCCCCCGAGCCCGTAGGCTCGGCCAAAAACGCCTTTTGAAGCCGATTAAACGGGTTGCCCCTTCGGACGAAACTTTGCCCTTCGGCGTCAGGGTTCCTCTGCTAACGCAGAGAGTTCGACAGGAGGCGTCCGCAGTCAAAGACCGCGAGATGCCATTCGGTATTTATCATTTCACCCACGGGAAACGAATATGGCACAAGGCCGGTTTTATTGTGGGTATCCTCGAGCCCGTAGGCTCGGCCAAAAAAAATAGCCTTTTGAAGCCGATTAGACGGGTTCAGGCCCTGAAACCTTTCCCTTCGGCAAAGCCTCGTCCGGGTTCCCTCCCCGGACGAAACCCGAGATGCCATTGCCCTTCGGCAAAGCTTCGTAGACGGGTTCAGGGTTCCTCTTGCTAACCGCAAAAAGTTCGAGTTCGACAGGAGGCGTCCGCAGTCAAAGACCGCGAGACGCTATTCAGTATTTATCATTTTCACCCACGGGAAACGAATTGGCACAAGGCCGGTTTTATTGTGGGTTTTCCAGCCCCGTAGGCTCGGCCAAAAAAATAGCCTTTGAAGCCGACGGGTTCATGGCACCTCCAAGGACGAAACCTTGCCCTTCGGCAAATTCGTGGGTTTTCTAACGCAGAGTTCGACAGGAGGCGTGCGCAGTCAAAGACCGCGAGAGGCTATTCGGTATTTATCTTTTCACCCACGGAAAAAGAAAAATAGGCCGGTTTTTTAAAGCCGAGCCTTTTAGCCGATTAAACGGGTTCAGGCCCTGTCTACCTCCCCGGACGAAACTTTGCCCTTCGGCAAAGCCTCGTCTGGTTCCTCTCTGCTAACGCAGAGAGTTCGACAGGAGGCGTCCGCAGTCAAAGACCGCGAGATGCCATTCGGTATTTATCATTTCACCCACGGGAAACGAATATGGCACAAGGCCGGTTTTATTGTGTGTATCCCCGAGCCCGTAGGCTCGGCCAAAAAATCCTTTTGAAGCCGATTAGACGGGTTTCGGGCCCATCTACCTCCCGGACGAAACCTTTCCCTTCGGCAAAGCCTCGTCGGGTTCCTTGCTGAAGTTCGATTAGACGGCGTCCGGTCAAAAAAGACCGCGAGATGCCATTCGGTATTTATCATTTCACCCCCGAATATGGCACAACCGGTTTTATTGTGGGTTTCTCCGAGCCCGTAGGCTCGGCCAAAAAAAATAGCCTTTTGAAGCCGATTAGACGGGTTCAGGCCCTGTCTACCTCCCCGGACGAAACCTTGCCCTTCGGCAAAGCCTCGTCGGGTTCCTCTCTGCTAACGCAGAGAGTTCGACAGGAGGCGTGCGCAGTCAAAGACCGCGAGATGATTCGCTATTTTCTTTTCACCCACGGAAAAGAATATGGCACAAGGCCGGTTTTTTTGGGTTTCCCGACGTAGGCTCGGCCAAAAATAGCCTTTTGAAGCCGATTACGGGTTATCTATGGGACGAAACTTTGCCTTCGGCAAATTACAATAGAATAGGACCGCGAGATGCTATGGCATTTAACGGAAAGAATATGGCACAAGGCCTTTTTTGGGTTTTCTTTTTTTTTTAGACGGGTTTTTTTTCCCCGGACAAATTTGCCCTTTCCTTCTTTGTTTTTTCGACAGGAAGGCGTCCGCAGTAAGATGCTATTCTTTCTTTCATTCTTCCTTTTTCATAGGCCGGTTTTTTCTTTTATTTTCTTTTTTTTGTGTTTTTTTCTTTTTCTTTCTTTCTTTCTTTCTTTCATTTTAATGTCTATGTTTCATCTTTGTTTCTCTTCATTCTTGTTTTGGTAAGTGTAAAATCTTCATCGTAAGGCAAAAATCGTGAAACTGGCTCTGAGATCCAATTATTAACCGTGAATCACACCTTTAGTTAAAAATGTACATCGTTTAAGAAAAGATGGTCAAGCAACAAAGTCGGCTCTGCCGAAAAATTAGCATTCAAAGATTCTGCATCTTTCGTTATCTATTTATAAATGTCTTTCTCAATTCCCATTCTGCTTTTCTCTCTCTCTCTCTCTCTCTCTCTCTCTCTCTCTCTATATATATATATATATATATATATATATATATATATATATATATATATATATATATTGATTTTCTCAACGTATTTTTTCTCAATTTTAGATGTGGCAAAAGGCCGAAAGTATGGGAATTCAAGTGATGATCGAACTGCCCCACCTCTCTTTCACTTACCTCTCTCTCTCTCTCTCTCTCTCTCTATATATATATATATATATATATATATATATATATATATATATATGCACCGTTTATTAGACATTAAAGTATGCCACATAGCGTCCTCCATAACCTACCTAGACTTTTCAGTTAACCTGATGAATATTCATAATCGTTTCTTAAAGTAGATAAAAAATATGAAAAACTAACATTTTCGCTCTTGTCTATAAATAAAAACATTGCATTTGCCTTGATAAAAACCGTTAGAGAAGGAATATCTATCTATCTATCTATCTATCTATCTATCTATCTATCACGGTCTGTTAATATCTATCTATCTATCTATCTATCTTTTATCTATCGGTTTTTAGATACGGTTAGTTAATATCTATCTATCTATCTATCACGGTCTGTTAATATCTATCTATCTATCTATCTATCTATCTATCTATCACGGTCTGTTAATATCTATCTATCTATCTATCTATCTATCTATCTATCTATCTTTTTATCACGGTCTGTTAATATCTATCTATCTATCTATCTATCTATCTATCTATCTATATATCTATCCTTTTATCACGGTCTGTTAATATCTATCTATCTATCTATCTATCTATCTATCTATCTATCTATCTATCTATCCTTTTATCACGGTCTGTTAATATCTATTTATCTATCTATCTATCTATCTATCTATCTATGTCGAAGAAACTTTATATCCAGTGTTTTTTGTGCCTATCCCTATCGCCCTAGCAGATCAATGTCCGCGTTGCAAATAAGTTAAGGAAACGAATTATGTATCTTAACCCTGAAAGACAGGTCGCTGTCAATAACTTAATTTTCCGACCGTAAATTGTAAATCAATAGAGAAAGCTTCTTGCACTGCGATAACAATGAATTCAATATTTTCCTTATACTTATGGTCGGTCATTACCAAAGACATTAATCACATTCCCCAAGAAGAAGGTTGTTTTTATCTTCCACCCTTGGTCGTCTTTCAAATAATCTACTTACTGCTATCATAACATTACTCAAACCTTTACGCATCGTTACAAATGAAAAAATGCACATACCTACACATCCGGATTATATTCAGTTTTATTTACATTTATAATTACGCGTCTGTCTGTGTGTCGCTGTGCACGTGTATTTTTGTGTGTGTTTATGCATGTTTGTGTGTGCGTGAGTGCATAGAAAAACAGATGTAAACAAATTCTTTGTTACTCTCAAATCCTTCAAGATTACTATTTACATTATTCGGACTATTGTCCTGATCTTTGTCGCCATATTTATTACAACGTTTCAGCCGTTGTACGCTCCGGCCTTCGTCAGATGCTTGGAATGTCGAAACGAACCCTTTATTTTGCTTACTGGGGTAGACTGTTCAATTTCCACGTGCCATGTTTATCCCAGTGAGCGAAATAAAGCGTTCAGTTCGACATATTTTCTAACCACCTGAAGAAGGCCGGAGCGTACAACGGCCGAAATGTTGTAATAAATATGGCAACAAAGATGATGACAATAATGTAAATAGTGTACATAATACCTCATCTCAGAAATACAGACAGATACTGAAGGGCCGAAACGTTGTGATAAATATAGCAACAAAGATCAGGACAATAGTCCGAATAATGTAAATAATGTACATACTACCTCATCTCAGAAATATAGGCAGATACTGAAGGACCGAAACGTTGTGATAAATATGGCAACAAAGATGAGGACAATAGTCCGAATAACGTAAATAATCTAAATAGTATACACAATACCTCATCTAAGATATATAGCCAGATTTTTTTGATCTATATTTATAAAATGGTATCTAATAAATTTTGCATTGTAGTTGATTTATATATTTTGATAATCTGGTAAATTTTTATAAATTTGTGACTAAAACATGTCTTTTCAAATTTATTTCTTTATATAAAAAGTTAAATAATAATAACGCATTGTATTTGGCTCCCATATTTTTATAATCTTGTAAATAACTTTTGCCAAGAGAGTTTAAAATGTATACAGTAGTAGCGGTGTCAAAGGAATAACCGTAATCTGACACTGTATTTTTGTGGGTGCGAAAGTTCGGCATTGCCAAAAGTTGGTTCACTGTGTCGGACCAGATACCTTTTCTAGTCATTATCCATCTTGTACATTTATAAATCTACAATTCGAGTTTGTATATAATAATTTCGTTGCTTGTCTTCCAGCTATATATCTCGAGATTATCGACATTGATCCTCAATATTATCGGTGCTGATCTGGCATCTCGACTCTAGACACTTTCCCACTATCTCACGATGTACGTTCCGTTCATATATGACCAGCCATGCCCGATTTCATATCTTACCTTTCACTACGGTTTTCGATGTTTGAACAGAAACAATTGCCGTTTTAATTTAAAAACACGTCTAATCAAATTATAATCATACACTTTTTTTTATTAATAAGAAACATTTAGAATTATCCAAAACTGAAGCCCTGGTATATTCTTCAAGCAAATATAACGAAATAATTAATTCTTCGAGATAATTTCGAAAAACGATAGCATGTTTTTCTACGGTTGAAAACGCATTCAAGTATATTGGTCATTAAGTTGGATCTGCGGGTGTCGGAATGGATAAGGGTGCCATGTTTAATTCCCTTTTTTATCTGAGACAAGATGTTGAAGTGATTATTTTTATGCTTCTCGATAATGTCTTATTAAGGTCAGTCATCAGATTATCGTTGTCCCAGAAAATTAGAGAGATCTTTTGGAAATACAAAAAGATTAGTTCCGGACGGGAAAAGTTACCAAATTTACGTGATGAGATAAAACATTGCAACTTCAGAGGAATTTTAACTCACTCCCCTATTCCCCTGGTACCACCTCCTTTTCAATTACCTCACGGTTAGTGCGACGCTGAGAACTGAACACGTATTGGGATGGCCAAAGACACATTCCAAAAGCTAGGCAGAGTATTACGGGACAAGAGGAATACTTTGAATGCTCTGCAATATTATCCGTGCTGATCTGGCATCTCGACTTTAGACACTTTCCCACCACACCCCGCGACGTAAGTTCCATCCATATATGATCAGCTATGCCTGATTTCATTGTCTCACATCTTACTACGGTTTTCGATGTTTGAACAGAGACAATTACAATTTTAAGTTAAAAACACGTATACTCAAATTATAATCATATACTTTTTTTATTAATAAGAAATATTTGGAATTATCCAAAACAGAAGCCCTGGTATATTCTTCAAGCAAATATAACGAAATAGTTAATTCTTCGAAAAACGATAGCATGTTTTTCTACGGTTGAAAACGCATTCAAGTGTATTGATCATTACCTTGGATCTGAAGGTGTTGGAACAGATAAGGGTGTCATGTTTAATTCCCTTTTTTATCTGAGGCAAGATGATGAACTGGTTATTTTTATGCTTCTTGATAATGTCTTATTAAGGTCAGTCATCAGATTATCATTGTCCCAGAAAATGAGAGAGATCTTTTGGAAATATAAAAGATTAGTTCCGGACGGGAAATGTTACCAAATTTACGAGATGAGATAAAACATTGCAACTTCAGAGGAATTTTAACTCACGCTCCTATTCCCCTGGTACCACCTCCTTTTCAATTACCTTACGGTAAGTGAGACGCTGAGATCCGAAGACGTATGGGGATAGCGCATTCCAAAGCCAAGCAGAGTATTACGAGATAGGAGGAATACTTTGGTAACAAAGAAAAGAGTACTGAACTGCTACGTGATATCTGTCCTCCTTTACGACAGCGAATGTTGGACGATTTCCTCAAAGAACAGACTCGAGGCAACGGAGGTATGGTTCTACAGAAGGATGCTGAGGATATCGTTTACGAAGTTTGTGAGCAATTATGAAGTTATAGAGAGAATGCAAACAAGGAGGAAGCTTATAATAAACATAAGGAAGAGGCAACTGAAATTTCTGGGACACTGAATGAGAAAGGTGGGCTTGGAGAATCTGATACTCATAGGACGAACACAGAGAAAGAGAGACAAGAGAAATCAACGCATGACATACCTGCCGAACTTAAGCAAGTGGATGACAGAACGTGGTCTGAGATCATGGCAGAGGGACGAAACTTATAAGGAGCTAAAAGGGATAGGGTGAAGCGGAGAGTCATGATCGCCTACGTCCTGAAGGGACATGGCATATAAGAAAGAATTCTTTGTTTGTCGTATATACTCGTGTATAAGTCTACTTAATATATAGTGCCATATTTTACTTTTATATAGCTCGTCTATTTTTTACGAAGACGTTCACCCTGTACAAAGCACTAGAACAACTCAAGCTAGACGGTTACAAATTAAGAGGAACTACCCAGGCAGAGTGATAATGACACCAAAAGGCTAGGGAACACAGGGATTAAAAGCATTGAAAAGACTTTAGAAAGAAACGGAAATACAATCCTAAACAGGAACATAAGGGATAAAACTTTAGGTCTATTTACATTATTCAGACTATTATCCTGATCTTTGTCGCCATACTTATCACAACGTTTCAGCCTTTCAGTATCTGTCTATATTTCTGAGATGAGGTATTATGTACACTACACTGCGTGCCAAATTGTTATCGAGATAACTTTTTTTCTAATATTTCAAAAACCGTCCAATCAATTCACACAAAATGTTCACACAATGTTAGCAACACTGACCTACGCAATCACTGAAATTTTCGTACTGATCTGCGCAATGTAAACAAACTGGCGCCATATTTGTTATCAGCACGATTATTTGAGCGTGCCAAATTATTAGAAACGTTAAGTAAAATTCCCAAAATTGAGCAAACAAAACGTTTTGTAATGTTGCACCTGAATGTTTATGATCAAAAGAAGCTAATAAATAAGATAATCAAACAAATAATAACAGATACAAACAAAGGCACAGTTTTAAACAAATTAATAGGGAATGTGCTTTCCCTGTTTTGAAATTACTTGAAGAAGACGACGATCCATAGAATTTGTTAAGTGTAGGATGTCATCTACAGTGATGCCACGAGATATGTCAAGACTTGCTTCCCACAACTCAGCGTTGCTCCTGAATCGTCGTCCGTTGGCGTACAGTCTTCGCTCCATGATGGTCCAAAGGTTTTCGCTTGGGTTCAAATCCGGAGAATTTGCTGGCCACTTCATTTTTCGAGGTCCATCGAAGCCTAACTTTTTCAAATATTCAGTAGTCTTGTGAGCAGCATGTGAGAGAGCATTATCTTGCATAAAAACAACGGCCCTTCTGAAAGCAACTCCTTGCCTTTTCATCCACGGTTCAAGATGCTCCTTCATAAACGCTATGTATGCATCAGCAGTCTTTTTGACGCCATCTGGTACTCTCCATAGGCCCACTAATGGTTTTCCAATAATACCATCCCAGATCATTATGCCTCCACCGCCTTGTTGGCGTCTCAAACGCTAATGGCAATTCTGTCCGTTCATTACCCAGACTTTGCACCATCTATCTGGCCCATCAAGTGTTGCTAGAGTTTCGTCTGTCAACAAAACTTTAGAGAAGTCAATCTTCATATTGTCCTCGGCTCATTTCAATCGATTTTGAATGTGATTTCTCGTCAACGGAGGATTC